TCGTGTAAGAAAACTGCAAAATATCTCCTGCTGACGCGGGCTTTGGAGATCTGCTGAGCTGCTTCCGAAACCTCATGGCTGCGCTGCCGCCTGAAGATCCGAACCTGTCATCGGGTTGAGCGGCTTTGCTTTCCATCGTGCTGCTGGTTGGTTCTTCAGGTATTAGACTGAATGAGAAGAAAGAAAGAAAAAATAAAGAAATCAAGCCGGTTGACGTTGGGCAAGGGCTGTGCTTGCTGTCACCTACCAGTTTGTTCCCGTTCCAGGTAGCCGATGAGAAACTGGATTGAATCGACTTCCCATGTTGGGTCTTCTAGGCTGCACTGGAGCAGGTGCCTGCGAAGTAGAATATTCCGCTTTCCCTCATTAGCTCCAGGCTGCTCGGGACGCTTTCTCTACGTCTTTTTCCTGACTGTGTCTCTCTTCTGGCCAGGTTGTTGGTGGAAGGCGTGGACGTGAACGCGAGGCACAGGCTCGGCTGGACTGCTCTCATGGTGGCAGCCATCAGCAGAAACTCCAGGTACGGTTGTCTCGACGTTCGACATCACGTGGTGGGTAAGTCACTTCACGGTCGCCCCACCCTTTCGTAAAGTCACGCTGAGCTCCACGGTGGGTTCTGTAAAGTTCGGGCTGGTTTGGGATGTGTTGCCAAGCTAAACCCGAGGGAGGTTTTCGCTCTTCCTTTGCGTGGTACATTGCGTGACAGATCGAGGTAGGCTGCTCTGCGATCCCCGAGAGGTGACTGCTGGCTTGGCAGTAGGTTTTGGCCTCTGATGATGAGTCCGTCGCCTTGGGATGTCATCGTGGTAGGTAGTCCAACACCCCACCATCAGGAATAGCTCCCGTAAGAGCTGCCGCGTCCCTCCTAGCTTGTGGGGCCATTGCTGGGTCTTTCATGCCAGGCCTTTATGAAGCAAAAAGGCTGAATGCTGTGCCCTCCCTCCTTAGTTCCCATGATGATCGCCGTGGCTTCTTGTAACCTTTTAAAGACGCTCGTAAATATATTCAGTCTACAACTAAATTCAATTAGGTTTTTTATTTAAGGAAAAAAGAGAAAAAGAAATCCAATTTTGGAAAACGTGGGACAGACGGGAGAATGGGCTTTGATGTTACAACCTCTCGGGGGTGCTTTACTTAGTCACAAGTTCATAAGCAAAAAAGCCTAATTACTTGGGAAAACACAGGATTAAAGCCGTGCACAAAGGCTGAATATCCGCTCTCGGGCGACACGATTCGAATCCATGTGCCCAGTTCGTGTGTGGTGCAAACTTTGATGTGTGCTATGACAAGCTGAAAGTCGTGACCTCCTCGGGGAGCTCCTTAAGATGGGCACAGAGGCGGGGGCTTGGGACTGTTTGTTTAACTTTGATGTCCGAGCAGCAACGGGCCCCGTTGTTTGCCCGTCCGCAGAGGGACGGGCTTTGGAGCCTCCCACCTTTGCCAGGGGACAATGGTCAGCAATGGAGTGTGACGACTGTTGACCATTCCAAGTGACTGGTCGACCAGAACAGGGCTTCCCGAGTTGCAAAGGCTAAGAGGGGATGGGGAGAAAGGCCGTTCATGGTACAATAATTACCTAAAACCGGGCCTAAAATCAGGTAGAAATGCTAATGAAAACATCTAGGCAGCAAAAGGCGCTCAGCACCCCGGCTGCTCCCTTGTTAGAGACCGGCAGAGCGGTAACAACGATGTGTCTTATTTGGGTACCTGACAAAAAACCCCAGCTTTTGGCTGTGTCGGGCAAACCGCGTTTATTTTTCCCACATTTTGGATGAATACTGACTTTAATTGGAAATTAAGAAGTCCTTGAATATCCGAAGTTTGGTAGGACTTGTCTCCAGCAATCCAGCCGGAGAGTAATTAGCGACTTCATGGAGGCAAACACGAACGCAAGCCAGGCTCGCTCCTGGAGTAACAGCTCTTGTTGGTACCGCTGGGGTCGTGCCAGGCGTGGGCTTGGCCCTCCGTGCCGTTCCAGCTCCGCGATGTCCGCAGCGGGGTCTTGCTGCTGGCTGGGAAACGTATTGAGCCGGAACGTGACAGACGGGGCGTTTGAAATCCCCTACAAATCGTTTGCTGGCGGACGTAGTCCACAGGGCGACCTCTTTAACCTGAGCCCAGCAGAACTGGGCGTCGCGTGTGCGGTCGGCTGTGGAAGTGGAGAAGGCTGAGCCTGTGGAGCTGATGGCTTTGACTCCGTGGCACGGGTTTGCCTGCAGAATCTTAAACGTTTATTAGCTTTTCCCTTCCAAATGCAGGGCGCCTGCTGGTTCGCTGCATCTCTCGCCGTCCTTTTACATACATCAGGTGGGAACCGGTCTCGATACGACTCACTCTGCTCTGCAGTAGGATGCAGGATTATTATTTTTTATTTTTAGATCGCGGTCCCTCTGCAAAGTGCGATGATCTAGCACTGGTTTATCCAGCCACAGCAGCCCATTGGGTGGATTATAAGTTGTTACGGCTTTCGGTTCTCAGCCCATCAGTCAAAGAGCCACCGGGGGAGCTGAGCCGGGTCTCTCTCCGACTTGCACGTCGGAGGAGAGGCGACGAGCGGCGCGGAGATGGGCAAGGTGCAGCCAGCAGAGCCAGGGTCTGTGCGCACTGGCAGCGTGCTGGGTCACTCGGTTTTGTTTAACCTGCCTGCTCTGTGGCCGCTTCTTTTTTTAAGGTTGTTAATAGCTGAACAGGTTACCCAGCGCAGCTTTAGGGGGCCGTGACGCCGGAAGCTGGAATGAGTGTTTTCAGCTTAGGACTGCTAAGAAAAAGTAAGCCTTCGGCCCCAAGTTCGTGGTTTTCCAAAGTCATTTTTCAGAGAAGAGCTATGTTTTCAGTCCCTGCTGCGCTGCTGGAGATTTCTGTGACCTGTCCTTTAGCTTTGTACCGTTTCCCAATTTTCACAGCCCTCACTCTCCCAATTAGACAGCTACTGTCCATATGTTTAATTTAATTTCGGAGGCACTGCATTAATGATGGTTGTCAGTTGCTGTCAGCTACAAGATAAAATCCCATGCGCCGGCAGGGAGGTTTGGGGTCTGTCTTTCCTTTTTACAACAAAACAATGATCATTCTCTTCCTCTTGAAAGTGTCCTGTGTCCAAAACATGGCCAAGGCACGAGGAAGCATCCTGGTGCATTCCTACCGATCGGTTTCAAAAGGGAGATGGGTGCAGAGCTGGGAAGGAGTGGGGTCGGGGCTTCATGTCGCGCTGAATCCCAGAATCCCAGCATGGCCGGGGCTGGCAGGGCCCTCCATGGATCACCCAGTACCACCCCCCTGCTCAAGCAGGCTCACCCAGAGCAGGGGGCACAGGACAGCGTCCAGGCGGGGGTTGAAGATCTCCAGAGAAGGAGACTCCACAGCCACCCTGGGCAGCCTGGGCCAGGGATCGGGCACCCTCACAGTCAACAAGTTCTTCCGCTGAACAAGCCCAGCTCCCTCAGCCTTTCCTCGTAGGGGAGATGCTCCAGTCCCCCCATCATCCTTGTTGTCCTCCTCTGGACTCTCTCCAGGAGTTCCTCATCCTTCTTGAACTGCAGAGCCCAGAACTGGACACAGTGCTCCAGGTGGGGTCTCACTGGGGCTTAGCAGAGGGGGAGGAGAACCTCCCTTACCCTGCTGGCCACACTCCTCTTGATGCACCCCAGGATGCCATTGGCCTTCTTGACAACAAGGGCACCCTGCTGAAGTAGAGCCTGGGGCTCCCAAAGGCTTCTAATCCAGGTGAGTGCAGCCTCACAGCTCCCTGTGAACCGGGAGAGTTCTGCTGCTGGCACTTCCAGCAGCTCCAGGTCCGGGCAGGGCGTTCGTTCCCATTGCCGGTGTGCCGGGGGATGGCTCTTTGCAAGCCGGGAGTGCTTCTGGTCCTTGCCGGCATCTTCCTCTGCAGAGCCCCCGTTCCGAAACACGGACGCGCCGCGTGCGGCCTGATTGCAGCTTTGCTTTGGCACCTTTCAGCCCGGGGCAGTCTGTGATCCCGTGGAGAGGGACCGGGTGACCGGGATGCCTGGGATCTGCTCTGCTCTCTGCTCAGCGGCTTGGTGGAGTGATTTCTTTTTTCTGGTGTCCCTTACACCCCGTGCCTGTCTGTGCACGTGGCTGGGGCTCTCTCCTGCGCTACAGATACCCAGGGCCCCGGCACGTTAAGCTCCCAAACATCGCTGTGGTGATAGTTGTAAAGGGAAGTGGCCAAATACTTCAGCCTGGTGTCGTAATTTAGGGAGAGGTATTTAAAATTTAGGTGGGGGGATTTAACAGCCGGGCAGAGGCGGTGCTGAGGGCCAGGGTTTGGGGGTGGGATGGCAGGGGTAGGGGAAGGGTTGGGCTGGGGGAGCTTAGAGGGCTTTCCCAACCCAAACCATTCCGTGGTTCTATAATTTGGGGGGTCGTGTTTTAAAAACACTTCGTTAAGGTGATATGGATGATGTTAAAATGCTGTTGAAAGAATTGTGTTCCTCTTATTTACTCTTCTAATTACCTTATCACCTTGTTTCAGACCCTTCCTGAAGCGTGGGTAGGTTCATTTATGGTTCTTTTTTTACATGAGAGGGAGCCCGGGTCCAAATTCCTCGGCTCTGGGCTAACACGGGTTGTAGCGGGGTTGTGGGCTGCCGGCCGGTCAGCTGCCACGGCGTTCACCTGAGCGAGGGAAGGTGCTACGCTGCGGTTCCCATGGCGGGGGGAATTTACTGTAGCTCTGGCGTAGCTGATGGGGCGGTGCACGCTTCCACCTCGCTTCTCATTTACGTTCTTCAGGCGAGTGGCTCCTCGCCCGTTTCGGTTTTAGCCTTTGTGAAAGCCTATAGCTCTCCTGGTATTCCAAGACCTATTTTGAAGCGGTTTCTTAATTTTCCCAGGAAGACATCGGTTTTAAACAGGAGGATTTATAGTCTGTGAAAAACACTGCTGGGGGCTTCTTTCCCTTGGCCACACCTGCTAGCTTTGCACATTAAACATATTTGTAGTAATTAAGCTCTAACTAAATGCTTCCTGAGAGCTTTGTGGGTTTTGTGCCTTTGTTAAAATAAGTGACAAAGCTCTCATGAATTAAAACCCAAAGCGGTGAGGGCCTTAGCAGGCTGAGCGTCTGCGCTTGCAGCGCGGTGACCTTTTCTGCATGCAGCTACTGTTTTTCATTGTTTCAGCAGAAATAAAATGACAGTGAAGTATCGAGCCCTCCTCCTGGCCCCGCGGGAGGTGGGGAACTGATGGTGCAGAAGGGGAAACCGAGGCACAGAGCAGCGTGGAAACTTTTAAATCCCCGTGGGATGGGTTTGGGCAGTGATAAACCACTGGCACCGGGTTCTGCTTCCGTTCCTTCCCATCGCTGCGACCCCCGTGCACCAGTCCGGCGGGGAGGGAGGGGGTCGGAGCGTGATTTTAGGGCTTGTGACGTTAGAAGCGTCGCGCGGGCGGTGGGGAGGAGCGCCTGGCACTACTCGGAACGCCGACCTTCTCCGAGCAGCTCTGCACGGACTCCCGGGAGATCGCCCCGGGGAGGGCAGGGGAGGAGGGATGAGA